GAAAATTGGGTAAACAAAAAGAAAATTTTAACTGGTGAGGTAACTACCAATGAAAATGTATGGTTCAACTTTTTTTTTTAATGAAATCTGTTTCTCAACAATCTCCAGATGTTGGAGGGTTACTCAGATGGACTTTAAATATTTTGATACTTTCTATGCATAACAGGAAATCATTTTATGTTGTTATATCAGGATTTGTGATAGAATGTGTTTTTTCAACATTACAGAAAAGAGTATGATATTCTGGTTTTCTCCTCCAAATAAAAGGGATACTGCTCCAAATTCATGGGTTAGCGTACCTAAAATTATAAGGCCTGGCATGTCCGGTCACAAATAAAACAGCAGCTCAGAAGTCCTGGACTATACACTTTTTAGAATGTGGCTTTATTTATCAAAGTGTAAAGTAGTTTGAAACCATGGGCAGTTTTTCTCAGGCTGTGGTGTGTTTGATTTTCATTTACCATAGAGAAAACTGTTCTGGTAAGTCCTCAATTAGTGCCCCAAACAATGTCTGTTATCTGCCTATCATTGTGTCATAAGGGGAGGAATGGTTGGTATTGAATGTTCGTTTGTGAATATATTACCTAGTAAATTGTTAGCTAGAATTACTTGCTTTAAGTATACAAAAGGGATTCTGCTCTCCATATTAGTGTGATTTGGAAGATAGATATTACTAGAAATTGCTTATATGTTCTGAAGCTTCCCATGTCCTGCTCAATAAATCATTGTGTCAGCTCAAACTTTGTGATCCATTAGAAAGAAGAATGCATCAAAATGATTCACTGAAAAGAGATTGTAATCTGACTATTTTACTGGAGTTATATATTATTCTGTTTATCATTTTCCCTTTTCTTCAGTGGAGAGACTGAAGAGCTTTCTGCAGTTTTCTACCTCAAATAAAAACCCTGTCATGTGACTCTCTTCCCCTCGGTGATATTATGGCGCAAGCTTTAAGCTGACCAGATAGTATCATTTAAATAATCATATCAGAGGGCTTTTATAGGGTCACATATATATATGATGTATACTAGAGCTAGTGCGGGAAGCTTGATCACTTTTCTGGCTAATGGCATTTGAGTTTGGCAGTAACAGCTCTGCACCCAGTAAAACTAATACCCACTGGAATATTTTATTTCTTTTCTTGAAGGATTTAAAAAAAAAAAGACATTCAAAAAATAATTGAATGCTTCAGAAGTGAATATCTAAAATCTAGTGACTGTAATTGTTCACTTCCTCTATAAATAGTGTTCTGTCTAATAAGAACAGCTTTTAAATTTAGAAGGTAGTTAGACTTCAGTCATTGCACTTCATGTAAAAATGCAAATCCATCACCTCACATGGAAAATACGGATATTCTCTAGAACTATCAAATGAAAACACATGCGCCAAATATGCAAATGACCTTTCTAACTATAGCAATACTCTTCTATAAAATAACCATATTTTTTAAGAAAATTTAAGACAATTGTTTATTTCAGAGGGACACATTTATTTCCTTTGAATCTCATTTATATCTCGATACTCAATGTCTTTCTTAGCTGCTTTAGGAGAATGGAAATGGTTTTGCTTTGCTTGCTTATTTATTTATTTTGTTGTAGTTTGTTTTCTTTAAGATTATAACTTTCTTTCTGGAATATAAGTCTGAGAGACTTTTCTTTTTTTTAAACTTCATATGAGGCTGCATAGTATGGTAATAAGGAGCAAAAAGTGTCAGGCAGATCTGAGTTCAATACCAACCAATCACTTCAGGGCCTATGTCACTTTGGGAAAATTTGGTTTTTCTAAACCTCAGTTTTTCATCTTAAAATGCTTATTACAAGTGTCTATTGTTGAGAGATTTGAGTGAAATAATGTAACCGAGCAGAAAGGGGCTCGTTCTGCTCACAGCAATCCAGTGTCAATCAATTGGAAACAAGCTGGTAGTGGAGAAAGGAAAGTTTATATGATTAGCAAGCATATTCGGAAGCTGGCAGACTAGTGTACTAAAGAACCATCTTAAAATCATACAGAATCTTGAGGCAGTTACATAGGGAAAATGGGCAGGGAAGAAGGGGGTTTAGGGATGTCAACCATCTGGTTGATAGACTTCAAGCCACCTCATTATCTCTTTCTTCTGTCATTTGTAATGGGTGCCAACACAGATTTTCTTTCTGGAGGTCGTCATGTTCCTGGGGAACTCAGAGAACAAGGTTATTGTCTTATCACAGCTGGGAGATATATATAAGCAAGAGTCGTAGAACTAGCAGATCATATATTTTGCAAAAGCGAAAGGTGCTTAATCATCTAGGCTACGTGCAGGCCAGAAGGCATTCATGGAGACTAGTGAGTCAGGGTCACAGTCACAATGTTGCTGCCTTTCCCTAAGATGGCTTCCCTCATGCTAACCTAAGATCTAGCTGTTACAATAATGCAATAGCACAATGCCTTAAGGTATTGCCAATACGAAACAAATAACAGATCAGCACTTTCAGTTGTTTTCTATATGCAGCGTAAGAAAGAAATTTGAAATAATTCTTCAGACAGGTTAGGCCACTGAAACACTTCAACCTGAAAACATCAGGCTATCAAATATCTTTCTTGAAGTAGTCAAATGGTTAAGGAATTATTTTTCTTTCTGTGTGCATAGCGTTTGGTTTTTATAACTTTGTAAGAACACTGGAGGGAGGGGTTACTTTACATGACACTCAAAAGGAACCTTTCCACTTACCCCAACCAGTGTTTTCTCCTATTGGTAACTTTATATATTTACAATTGAAATTGCATATTCTTTTGAGGGCTAATAAAATATGTTAGATTTAGTGTATAGTATTTGAGAATATACTTCTTTATTTGATTTTTGCTGCATTTAACAAGTTTATTACCTTATAGGAGCACTTAGATTTTATACATATTTATATGTTTATAGTGTTTTCAATTTGTTTACTTTTAGTCAGGATGGGGCGATGTGGTGTGGTGAAAAGAGCCTTAAAACAAGACGTAGGGATTTTGATCCGATTTAAGGCTTCCACATTCACTTGCTTACTATCCTTCAGCAGGCTGTTTTGTCTCCTTTGCACCAGCTTCCTGGTAAAGGTCATCTGAAAGACCCAATCTCTTTACAAATCCGTGTGAAAAGTGGAAAATCAAACTAGTTAGTAAAAACTTGAAAGGTTTAATATTTTCAGACATGCCTTCTAAAGTGGTCTTTTTTGGAATTTTCTGGATAATTTTCAGGAATGTAACATTTGTTTGGAAGAGTAGATCACACTCTTATGTGAGTAATATTTGAAATTTCAATAGAATAAAATAAAGCAATAACTTGGGAATAAAGAAAATGTAGGCTTTCCTAGTGTGTTGTTGTATAAGGCTATAGTGATGGCAGTTAATATCAAGTCAGCATCAAAGTATTTGGAAATTTTAGGATAGCTTCTGTCAACTGAGGAAAAATCCACTACAATTCAAACAGCAGATTCTTATTTAGGCAATTAAAATTGCAATTCGGGAGACACAGATTCAGGTAGAAACCCAAAATGTGCTCCAAGGAAGACAAAGGAGAGAGGGTTTATAAAGGCAAAAAGAGATAAATTACACAGGTTGTTCTGCAAGATTTGTGATTGGTGCTGGCAACAATTCTTACTTCTTGGCTATATGTGACTGCTTGCTAAGGCCATCTCTAAGGTAAAAGTTCTTTTCTGTGCGAGGAAGCATATTTCTTGAAAGAAGGTCAAGGTGACAGCAGTGAAGCACAGTTCAAAGTTACATTCCCTCTGGGTAGAGGCGTGCAAAGAACCACTTCCTTAATGGTCTCCTGGCTCCTTTTTAGAAGCCTTGACATATGTTACTCCATTTTGTTATCTCTGTCCACACTTCCAACTGAAATGTTACGAGTTGCCTACATATGAAAACCTCCTCACCAATAAAGCATGATAAAACTCAAGCACTTAACGTTGTTTCTCAATTTTGTGCGTTTCCCCCCATTTCTCTGTTTTTGTTCTTCTTCCTCAAACTTACATGAGGATTTCCTGACTTGGGACTTCACATTTTAAGTTCCTTATAAGTCTGCAACATACTATCTTGTGCTTTTATGTCATAGTTTAGATTTATATTATAAATACTTTGTTTTGTGAATTATTGCATATAACTTCCCAAAACTGACATTTTAGTATTTGCTTGAAATACTATTTGTTTGAATTATTTGCTTGTGACTTTTTAATGCACATGGGAACAAAGTCAAATAGCGTCTGTTGATCATAATACAGTATGTCTGAAGCAGTGTCAGATTGTGGAAGGATTACAGACTAGGGAGTTAGAGGGGCCTCCTTTCTCATTTCCAACTTATACTATCTGACTCTGTGTTTCCTTATCTCAATATGACAATAAAACTTTATGGAGTTGTTGGGAGTATTTAAAAATAACCTATAAAGTAAGTTGCACAGTACTTTTTACTCATTAAATGTTAATGTCATTAATTAAATCATTAATGTGGACTTAGCTAAATGGCTTGACTGTGTGTTACAGTGAGAATGATGATGGATTAGCTCTGTTGTTTTCTTTTTTTTCTAATATACTCTACCTCAAAAATGAAGTAGTATAGTTATTTACTAATTTATTTCCAAAATGTATGGAAATAAATAATTTCTATTAATGCCAAAGGAAAATAGAGATGGTTCAAAAGATAGTCTTTGATTTCACTTTATTTTACTTAAACAAACTAATGAAAACTAATAACTGATTCCAAATAAGTTATGAGAAGAAATAAGGATCATTTGGGTCAAAATGGTCAGCTGTGGGAAATGGTATATTTAAGTAAAGAAAAGGTAATAATACTTGAAAAAAAATATTAAGCACAATTTGATTTTAGTCATGCGTCTTCTTATTATCCACAGGGGAAAAACAATAAGACTGATTGCAATCAGGACTGTCTTGTGAGACTGAGAAAGAGAAAGGACGTTCTGGAACTTACAGAACTCTTTCATATTTTGATTCAGGGAAATTATTGTATCTTTGTGGTTGTTTTACAGATTTACTTACGATTCTTGGACTATGAGATGCAGAATTCAAATGAATGCAAAAGGAATTTTGTGGCCGTGTATGATGGCAGCAGCTCCGTGGAGGATCTGAGAGCTAAGTTCTGTAGCACCGTGGCTAATGACGTCATGCTCCGCACAGGGCTTGGGGTGATCCGCCTGTGGGCCGATGAGGGCAGTAGGAACAGCCGATTTCAGATGCTCTTCACATCGTTTCAAGAACGTAAGATTCTCTGCATTTGATTGTTTGTCCTTCAAATGTGTCATATGATACAAGTCTCCTAAGCTGTTCATGGTGTTTTCTTTATGCAGTGTGAGCACAGCAGTGTGTGCCTTAATAAGTGGTTAACATCACTGAGAGGCTCTGTCCTTCATTTTGATCCATTGACAGGAAGGAGCTACATATTACATTTTGATTAACAATTTCAGCATCTGCATCGTAGCCTTGCTAAAGACTGTTCACATCCTTCAACTGGAAATGATGACTTTTGTTTGTCTTTGGTTTAGTTCGTATGAAGCATATGGAATTGACACAGCAGCTTGTGATGAAATTTGAGTTTAAATCTTAAAAACCTACATAAAAATATTTGAGTTCTCTTTAGTAAGCTTCTGTTGCAGTCCCATTGATTTCAAATTAAAGCAGGCAAAGAGAAAATTGCTTGGGAAGAGAGTAAATAGAAAAAGCTTCAGAAAATATTTAAAATGGCACAATGGGTGATACTCGGGATTATGTGCAATGCACATCAATTTTACAAAATTATATTCTAACAAATAATGAGTCATATTAATAGATATATTTCTGGAGTGTTCTTCAGAAACCTTAAATAATTCATGTTTAATAAATTTATACAAATGAAAAATAATCCTGAAAAGTTCAGCTTTAAGGAATCAGCACCTTGTAATTTGAAACTATGCATTTTTTAAATAGAAAAGACAATAAAATATTTTGGAAATTTCAAGGATTTCTCAATGATAGGCATAGTAGCCAATATTTTTTCAGTTCATAAATGTTAAATATATTAGGCAATTCTTTTACATATATAGTAAGTAGAAAGTTTTGTCTTTAAATTCCTCTCTAATTATGCAGTTGGAGAATTCTAGGGCACAGAAGAACTGAACATCACTCAATCTTTCTAGATCTTGATACCATCACAGAGTGTGTTAAATATCTCTCCCAACATTATCTCAGATTTAAACAGCGTGTTACTATCTACGTCCTCATTACAGTAGTTGATCAAAGTGTTAGAGGCGGTACATCTCTTTTTCAGCAAGGTATTTGGCCAAAAAAAGATTCTTGTCATTTTCTTGACTAGAATATGAAGAAATTCAGGCTGTAAGATAGCACATTTGGTGTTTTCACTGCTGATTGCTCTACCGTTTCCAGTAGACGGTGCCTTTGGTAAGGGGTTAGAGTGTACTTTATTAAATATTCTTGTCAGGCTCAATAATATATTGAGAACGTTTATCTAATTTAAAAGACACAAATATGGAAGGGCTAGCTAATATGGGCTAACACAGGGTTACTAGGAGTCAGAATTGACTTGACAGCACTAACAACAAGCTAATATGTTAGATGATATAATCAAGTTTTAAAAAATATCACAAAAATCTGCAATTTTTATCAAAGCTACACCATAAAATGTAGTAGGGATAAATTAAAATACATATTCTTATGTTTCAAATATCAAGTAAACCACAATAGTATAGAGGAATCTTGACTCCTAGGACTTCCTAAGGTTTTATTTCATTCAAACTCAATATGAGCCAATACTTTTTGTATAATTTACAAAAAATATCTTATGCAATATTAACTTATATTAAGAAAAGTGCAATAAACAGCTCAAAGAGGGTAGTCTCATGGGAAGCTGCACTAGTCAAAATGCAAATTGCATAGCCTGTTCTTTTCTGCATATTATTAATGGGGAGGAGAGGAATCAATTACAAGAGGCTGACCAGGATGCAGAAGCATCTAGAATTGTGAGAAAGGCCAGAGGAGAAGGAATACTAATATTAGAGATTTTTTTTTCTTCAAAATATGATCACTACCTTAGACTATGTGCAGTAATAGGGATTAGTGTCTGAAAGGTAAGATGATGTTTGTTAAATTAATTGTAGGGAAACATTTAAATGCAATTTAGGAAAAAATGTCTAGTTCATAGGAGCTGTGATATTCCAAAATTGAATAGATTCCCGTCGAGGATATAGACTCTGGATAGAGGGGTGATTTGGTTCAAAGATGGATTATCATCTGGCTTGAATGGCACAGGGAAAATGTCTACATTAGGTAGGGGAAAGGAGCGGCTAAGGTCCGTTTCAACTCTAAGATTGATTCAGTTCTATGAGTCTTTAAAATTCTACTTATACAAGAAATGGTGAATTATAGCATACTGTGCATATATCATTAGAAATATTTCTATTTGGGCTAAAAGATAGAGCCTCCATGCGTGTAATTAAATGATCTCCAGAAGTCACTCAAGGGGGTGGACTTTTCAATGACTAATCTAGAGGAAGAAATGGGACCTTCTTCCTCCATAGGAAGAAATCACCCCACCCTTTACGTTCCTATACAGTGGATGGGTTATCACTCTCATTTGAATGATGAGTATTACAATGGCATTCTCTGTGAATGTCTCATAAATTTACAATAAGCTTTGATTGAAACAAATTTATCCTCTGTGTCATGGTGCCTATGCAGTTTTGTTATGATGTTTTTTCTGCATCGGCCATAATTGTGCAGAATTCTACCATTATATGCCTAAGATCAAAGTCATCCTGTGATAAAGTATGTGGGTGTACACCAAGGTTTTTTTTTGTATTGAAATCAAGATATTACAGATATGAGATGAAAATTTCAAAATAAGAAGTAGACCTCAATCAATGCTATTACTCAGAAATGGGTGGTTCTAATCTTTACTCCGTACATACCCACACACATAGATTACAAATGTGAAATCAATGACTAGCTTTGTCTTACTCAAATAATAAGAAACCACCTTAATATTTTTCTTGGTTCCTACATTTATAAGATAGTATCTCCAGTGTAGTGTTGAGAAACACTTAGAGCGTATTCGACAATATTCTAATATCTGTCAAAATCTATGTTTAGGACCATGGGAGTTTTTTAGGGGTTAGAGGAGAGCTTAGAGGCAATCTATTTTGATCGCAAACATTTTGTGAATTCAAACAGAAAAGGATAAGATCCAGAAAAGTTAACTGGCTTTTCCTGTACCCCTTCAACCCCATGCTTAATGATTTGTTACCAGCACTGTGGCAAGAATGTAAGGTTTGATTCCTAACCTCATAAAGTCTCTTGTGGATAACTTTGCCACTTTTGAGTTAGGGACAGAGCTCCTATTTTCTAATGATGGTGATGATGATGATGATGATAAAAATAAGTAGCCTTTATGCATCACTTATATAGGTCAGCATTGTTTTATGTGCTTTACAAACTAAATTCCAATTCTTCTGTCCTATCTACTTCATCTTCTGTCTACATATCGTGCTTACATGCTATAATCATATAGTATGCCACTTCCACATGACTACAAATATTAGACTAAACTAAAGTTATTATGAGGGTCTTCTGGAAGATACTAATCTTGGAACTAATGGTGCAAATAGGAATATATTTTCAAATCATCATATTTTTACGTTTCTATCTGAATAAGTTGCAGAAAAGGGAAAGAATGAGGCATGGAAATTCTCATTACAAAAGTCACCAGACTTTTAGGTTTCATATGCACGTTAGAAGCATTTTATAAAGTCTGAGTTAAATGCCAACATTTGCAACAACAAAATATATTCTATAATACTGATTTTAGAAGAATATAAGATCACTGAATAGAAGTATTTACCTTCAACTGAGACTTGAGAAATGCGTCTTGCCTAGATTGCTCCCATAAATATCATACTTCTGCCTCTACTGTCTTGCTAACTCTTCACCTCAGCTTTGTCTGAGCTCTGCTCAAGATTGCTGCCCTGATTAATGATATTATACTGCCGTTGGCTGCTGCTAAAAAATGTTTTCTTCAGACGAATAGTATCCAGACTACGTCCTATACAGTAATTTTGAAACCTGGGGACAAGAGAGAAAAATCAGTATTATTACCAAATGGGCACTGTCTTATTTAATTAGGTTATAGTCTTTTTAATACCCTAAATGGCACTTTGCACTTGGATTACTCAAAACACTCAGTTCACTCATAAACAATTTATCCAATGAAGTCACACATACGGGTGCCCCAAAAAAGACCTCAAAAATTAAGTATTAATTTTGGCTTATATTCTTTAAGAAACCAACATTTAACATTTAAATGTATCCTAAGACTAATGGTAGGATTTATTAACCATTGTAACTAATTTGCTTTCTTAGATCAAAAATCAACAAATATTAGGGAAAACCAGATTAGAAACATACTTGTTGATAAAGAAGAATGAATCCAATTTGAGATGAATAAGTGATACACTGAATAATTCCTACATTGATTATAGAAACTGTGCTATACTTTATTTTAGTTACTCAATTTGAGTGCCTATAATAATATAGTTTTACATATTTGCATCATTTTTTATAGTCACTGATCTTGTTCTAAAGAATCATCGAAATTTGTAAAAATTTTGATTATAGTTAGTATAATTTAAATTTTGAGTATACTTTATATATTATACATGAAAATTCACAGTCAATTATGATAGAACTGTATATTTAAGTATGGAATATACATAATGGAAATATTAGTGAAATGTGCCTGTTCACATTGAGTTACCTGCCAAATTCTCTGAGCAAATCTTTTTCTGGGCTACATGAATTTGAAGTAACTAGAATGGATAAATAACGTGAATAATATCTAGTTTTGATTTCTGAAGTTCCATCTTAGCTACTCTTCTGCTCTCATTTAGAGTTTTGCACTTAATATCCAATTAATGAGCAGCATACTTCTGTTAAAAACAGACATGCAAGTAAAGAGAGATGAAAAGCAAATTGTCCACTTTAAGGTTGTGGGGAAATTGTTTACAATAATTTGCTAAAATGAGATAATGTATTTAGTTTCATACTAATTTGTAACAAAAGCTTATTGAGTCAAACTAAAGATTTATTTACAATAAAGAAATATACATACAATAACATGTAATTTCAAAGAGGAATTGACTTAAAGGTTTCTGTGGAATTCTGAGATAAGTCAAAAGATTCCCATCTCTTGTTGTAGAAGCCTCTTATAACCC